TGTCTATCTTGGCTAACAATTAAGCCATCTTATGCTAAAACAGTAGGTACAAAGCAACTTAAGCTTACAAATGAATAATAAGACAAAAAATTAGAGACAACAAAGAAAATAAATGATCATGTTACTACCATCTCAATAATAAGTCCCATAGTAAGTTTGAATAGCTGCTTTAATAAGTTGCTTAGAAGGGTTAATGTTATGGTAATAGATGGTTGATCTTAACTTGGTTGAGGAAAGATATATTTAAAATGATAGTAATACATCAGCTCTAAACTCAAAAAATTCAAACTTGAAACTTGAATGACAAAAAAGTAATAAATTTATATGAACTTTAATACATGTTGCAGTTTCTAGATTGAGATAATTAAGGAGGTGATCATTCCATTATTGAAAAGTGCAAATTGATTTTTAATTTACAGCCACCCTAAATATCCATCCCAAGTATATGGGATTTAATTATTAATTAGGATATGAAAATATATATAAATCATCATGACCTTGACTTAAACATTATTCTTTATGAGTTTTTTTTTTTTTTTTGAGGAAATAATATGTATTTATATATATATGGATTGAATCACAAACCTTTGCTTTCATAAGGAACTGTTGGGTGTTTTGTTAATATTTGAATTGGTGGGATTTTTTTATCTCCTCTGTTTCTTTAATAATGTACATGTTTGATCTTTTGTCACCTATGACTTTTCTTTCCGAAGCTTCATCTTATGTCAAAAAAGCCACTAACTATAGCCAGGGTTGTTAATTTATGATTTCATTAAATGTGTTGTGCTTATCGATTGATAAGGTGCATGTATTTTTTAACTTACCATGCTGTCATTGATTTATTTTATTGAATTTTTTAAATAAAAAATTTTCTTTGTTGTCAATAGATGCCTTAATTATGTTTTGCTTCAAACAAAAAAGAAAATCTGGTTTTGATTTTATCGAAAGTAAAAAATAGTATTCATGGGATTAACAATTACATTATGTTCAGCACTTATGAAATTTTTACCTCAAAATTGCTCAATAAGGTCAAGTGAACTTTTGGAGCAATGATTTTAAGTTACGATATGACTGAGTTTTGTTATTCCATTTTTTTGAGCTTTTGAACTGGAGGTTTGATACATTTTTTACTTTTATTCCTAAAAGTTCTCATGTTAAGTAAATTTCTTCTTGCTTTTATGTACTTTAATTCCTTTAGTCATAAATTTTTACGTAGAATTGTAAAACAATATTAAAATATTAGTAAAAATTGCATGTAGACTGATAGAGTTGTTTATTTCAAGTCAATGTTTCCTTTTTTTTTTTGTAATACCTTTAATTTCATGGCTTACATACTCTATTTATAAGAGGATGGGCATAATGAGTGCTTTTATACCACCTTATGGTTAGTTTTTCTAAACTTTTATACTCATAGCTAATTTTAGTTCTACTTCGTATGGATCTAGGAAAACAATTTACCTTAATGGATATTTTATTGAATTAGAATAGGAATTTCTTTTATAATGTATGGTTTTTTTTTATCGTAGTAGATACACTTTAAATTTTTAGTATGGATCACATTATTTTTTTCATTTTGTCCCATAACAAATTGATAATTTAAACATTTGATTATGTTGTATAGGAGTTGTATTCATATATCTACAATGACAAAATCTTTAGTTTTTTGTCTGTAAGGTATTACATTCATAATATTGTGGTGGTAGCAATTGTTAGTATTGTTACTAGTTGGTGTGTGGACCCCTAATATCTATTTGTGACAATTGGTTGGCCAAATCATCCATCTTGCAATTCTTGTTACATCTTAGTGTGATTGCCTTGGCTCTATCTTCATAGTTCTTTCCATATAGTACAGATGCACTTAAGAAAGTTGTTTTTCAACAAACATTTTTTACTATAGGTATTTTAAAATCGTAATTGCTATTTAGAAGTCTCTTGAAACCAATATTAGTTTATAGTATTAATGGTATTGTCATTAATTTATTTATATGAGCTAATCCATTTTATTAGTGCTATTCATGACTAAATTCTTGGTTGATGTTTAGAACTCTAATGCCATCTATATAGAAACGTTGTAATGCTATTATTTCTAAAAATTATCTTACTTCTGAGCTTGACAGATGCAAATTAGGTTGTTGATTCAAGTTATGACTTTTTTTGGTAACTCCACTACTTTTTATTTCTCAATTTTAAATATGCAACCTGAGTGATTTTAGGAGTTACCGTTGCGTCAAATTTTTCTTTGAAATATAACATGTTAACCAACGACTTTTGATGTATGTTTAGGTAGGTTTCAGTATTGGTTGTCCTAAATACCTTTATTAAAATAGGATTTGAAGTTATTAAGCTTATCTTGATATTCAGAATGTTTACAATTGTGTTTCTTATGTGTTTGAATTGCATGACCTATGTTTACTTTGAAGACTTTGTTGTAATTGACATGAAAATGACTATCAAATTATAGCTTTGTTAGGGTTGTACAAAAATTTATAATATTGATTGCTTTTTAAAATTAGAATTGACTAAATTATATTTACTTATAAAATTTTGTTCAACAATGTTTTCAAAAGCAAGTATTGTTCATGGCCTAATAACCTCAATGATAAAAAAAGATTTGAAGTACTTAGAAATGATAATATTGCCTTTTCACAAATGTAATGAGCTCTTTTTTTTCATGTTTGATTGATTTATTTGTCTATTCATAGCATACAGAATTAGGTTGAAGACTTATTCTGAAAATAACTTGATTTAAATTAGCATGGCATGCCTAATGCTATGGTGTGCATAACAAATTTCTCCCAATTTGTGAATTTATACTGGAATAATTGTTATTAGTCTTTTATCTTTTCTCATTATTCAAATGCACCATGGGTTTTATATTGCTTACAACAATACAACCATACACCTTGAAATTCTAAATTCTGATAAAGAAGTAAAAGAATTTTATGAAAACCTTGACATCATGGTAACAAGCCATTCAATGGGAGGGGTTATGGCTTCCTTTTGTGCACTTGATCTAACAGTAATCTAAAGCCTTTCTTAATACAACTGAAAATATGTTATTATTGCTATTCTTTTCATCATGTGTTAAATGTGAAACATTCGTGTTTACTACATGAATTTGCATTATGTACCACGATTTTTCCAAATCTTTTAAGTTAAATTTCCTTTGTTAAATTATGGAAGCTTGCCTAGTTACTCTATCAAAGTTGTAATGGCAAAATAAATCTTTTATTCCCAGGTCAATCATAAAGGCAAGAACATGCAAGTTATAACATTTAGACAACCCCATATTGGGAATGTTGCCTTTACTTCTTATTACAACAAACTTGTGTCAAACACAATTAGAGTGACTAATGATCATGATATTGTACCCATCTGCCACCATACCATTCCTATTTCCCTAAAAAGATGTAGCATCAGTTTTCGAGGGAAATAAGTATCTGTGTTTATTAAAATAAATTCTTTATGTAAGAAATCTTAACCTTTAAAGCTACTTATTGGAGTAACAAAGTATGGTCTAGCTGTTGATATATGGTCTATTAGTTGCAACTTTGCTAAGCTCTTGGAAAAGATGATGTTAGTTGCTTTATATTCAATTAAATGATAGAATTTTATAAAAAGATAAGCCATAATTGAACGGTGTGATGTCTTATGAGTTAAATGGCCTTAGAATAGTTATTCTATATAATAGAATCCTGATAGTAATTGATAGTTGATATATTCTTCCTTACCTATAAAGTTATTAACAATTAATTTCAAAACTTAACAGCATTTTCATGAAAACAACAAGAAGCATGTGGAAAGGAAACTTTAAAGAATAAAGTAAGGCATTGATATCATCTCTTTTCTCCTATTTATTCACATGTTTGCCTTCTGTTGTTTTGCTTGTTGACATTTTTTATTTCGCTGTCTATATCCATTTTTGTATAGCATAATGCAAACAAGGATTCAAATTTGGTTTTTAATGTTCCCTTTACTAGAATATAAAAACATAGTAGTTTCTCTATCCATTATTCTTTGACAATATAGATAATGTGATAGGTTGTTTTGTTTGTTTTTCATTGTTGAACTTTTTGGTTACGTATATTTCTCTATGTTGAATGCTAAGCTGCAAATAAGGTTAGTTATTCTTTTGTGATCCAATAATGATGACAAATAAATAAGTCTTCAATGAATAAGTTTAATATCTCATAATCATTGACTTCAATTGATGTAAATATTCAAAAAATAAATAATTATACAACTCTTTTTCTCTTATACATTGTTCAATAGTTAAATATTAATACATGATTTTATTTTACTTTCGTGATGATGCATGGGCTTGAAATCTAATTCATAATAATACCTTTTACATATTAAATAATTCAAATTCAATTCGACTAGTTATTGAGAGTTTGAACTTGACTCAACAAAAAATAATTAAATTAAAATATTTACCTCATAAATAACTTGACTCGATTAAAACTTAAAAAAGAGTTATTTGGGTGGAAGAAATTCATTTTTTTTATCTAATTTATATACTATTAATGGAATTATATATTAATTGGGTCGGGTTAACCGCACTAAAAACTTTAATTTCTTGTGTAGGCTCTGTTAATGGGTTTTAAATGTTTGTCCTGTTCGGTTATCAAGCCACACTTCGGGTTAAGGCTAAATCTATTTTATTTAATTTTAAATCAATTATTATCTTATCAAATAAAAGGGATTGTAAAAAGGATTGAAGTCTTTTGCCATACCATACCTGCTTAGAAAATGTTATCGTGAAAAAAAAAAATTCCTTAAAATTTTCGGGCTAAGTTTTCAATAGTAAACTCTTCTTAATTTCGTAGATTCAATCGAAATCCTAGAGACAAACTAGCATTAAAAAGGCAAAAGAAATGATAAAAGATTTGATTCTCAACTTTATTAATCCATATTTCATCCTTCTAAAACAATGAATATAAAAATAATAAAAAAGAGCTCAACAATATAAAAATCTGTGCTACTACAATCACTGACTTACTAGAGATATACTTCTTTTAAAAATGAAAATTTGGGTTCATTTGACAGAGAAGTGATCGAACAATAACTTGATAAAACCCAAAAGCTAGAAATAATTTGCATCATTAGAAGTAAAAAAAAAGAAGAAAATCTTCAACTAAAAATATGGTAGAAATACTACAATACAGAAACAAAAATTGGAAGAAAAGCACATATGTTACATGTACGGATGTATACAGAATTCTCAACTAAATCAAATATAATATGGTAAATAGTTTCTCCCGAGATTTCAGAATCAGATCCCATCAATCAGATACATCGGTATTACTTTATCCTTCTGTTTCTGTACCGAGGCTTCACCAATCACAAAGATCTTCTTGCTTTTCCAAATCCCAAATCACCACTTTCCCGTCCAATCCTGTTATTTCAAAGAGCATATTAACGAGAACATCACTCCAAAACTAAAAATTTATTGTATCTAAAATGTAAAAACAGTAAAAGTTGTCCGTCCTCACCCACCTTAGGTGCTGAACCGCTTTGTTCGGGACCCTTCTTTCCTTAGAGGTACAGTACAACTCCAAAAAGAGAAAAATGTTTAACATTCAGCTTCATTTTTTTAACAGAGGGAACATCTATGCATCAATTATCCGCTTCATAATCGGAACTAAGCGGTTAAATTGCTAAGCAGCATCTAGAGTGGAACATAAGTGTTCTCTTTTTATGGTTTTTGGAGAAAAAAAAATTCATATCTTATTTTATAAAGGCAATAATAACAATATTATTATTTTTCACTTTCAGTACAAAGAAATGACTGTTTCACAGAAAATAAGAATGAAAACAGCAATAAAATCATCTTGGTTTTAAGAATAAGAAAGTGGTATAGCTGGATATAAAAAATTTGACAGACTAGCCTAGCTAAATTCTAACTGAATTTAGATACAGAACTTATACAAAGGGAAATGACCCTCGAATGATTTTAACTCATGTACTCAAATAGACTTCAAGAAATGGCGTCAATGATAGCAAAAGGGAAAAGATTAAACCAGCAAAATATTATTAGACCCATATGTTGATGTTTTTTCATGTTCACTCTATTTAAAACCAATTCCAGGATCATAAAAAATTGCTACTTTTTTATGTTTTCTCCACTTCAATGACAATGATTACAGTGGCCATAGAGACACCTGCAAATGATATTGATGCTATTCTGTTAAAACTACTGTTAAGATCATACTGACAAGCCTATTGTTTTAGAATAAATAATTGCCTCAGCTCAAACTAATGTCACGGTTCACAAAAATTGAAGCTTCACGTTCACAAAAATTGAAGCTTTGCATGATATACTCAAGTGAATAGACAACCTGCAGATCTTACCATCCAATGAGAACCCTGTCGAGAAATTCTTTCATGAAACATTGTGGACATCACCCAAAACTTACCACTTTTACAGAAATAACCTTGTTTAACAGCATATGAAGAAGTCTTGACTTTCTTATATATAAGGAAACCTGGAGCTGGTCTGGAAGTGATCTGAGTTGTTCTTACAACTTTCTACCCTTGCCCCAGTCCCCCTCCCGCCCAACCTCACCCAGAAAATTTTGCACTCTTATGGAACAAGAATAGCTAAAAGTTTTAATGATATACTTACTTGAGAACCATATTTTAAACCTGAAGAAGATGCTTTCCTTTCACCAAGGAATCTGATAAAGCTCCTGGTAAACAAGACCAAAAACTTTATTAATGTACTGAAGCAAGTACAGAAATTTACAATGATAATGAATCTTACATACCATATTCCTGATTCATCTGCTGCAAAGACCATTGGATTGCAGTCAAATCCCACACCTATGACCATTTTCTCAGAAACAAATAGGACCTGATAGTATTTCATGTGATTATAGATAAATTCAGCATAAAAAATGATGCTTATTATTCAGGCCCAAAATAAAGGGGAGCAAAAACAGTTAACAAGAGTGGATGCTGACCCATATCACGAAGAGGCAAATTACAGAATGCAACATTCTGGACCAAAGGAGAAGGACCAACATCATCAACAAAGTAAATCATAGAATTATTACCTGCAAAATAGATAAATGGCAGGTGAAAAGAGAACTTTTACAAGCACTGGTAAGACATTAACAACAGAAATTTTCCCCTAAAAGAGGAAAAAAGGGAATATTTAAGGAGTTGAGTCAAAATTTTAGGCACAGCCAATTCAGTTTGGTGGTTTCATGCCATGACAGTTATTCAACAACCAAAACTTTAATGAAAAGTTGCATTAGTTCCAACAAGAGCTTCATCTTTGCAAGTGACAGATTGTTAAAAAAAATTCTAACCAACATAAGCCAACGTATTGCCACTTGGTGACCACTTCACACCAAATGCCCATGAAAATGAAAGATCAAGCTGAACAATTTGCTGTTCCAACAGTGAGTGCCAACAAAGGAAAAGAAAAAAGTTAGCTCTTCTTTGCAATGACAAAAGGTTAATGAAAGTGCAGAACCCTGATTTCACTGAATAAATGATGGAAGACATAAGAATCTAAGCAAGTCATATTACGCAAAAATAAAGCATGTAATCAATAAAAATATTCATGGGTCCATCTGAGGCAAGAACAATTTTGGTAATTAACTGACTCAACTCCCTATTTCAGGATACTCAGATGAATAAATAATAAAAATATCACAGCATTATGTCCTTTGAGCTAAATACTTGGACCAATATTTGATTAAACAAAACACAGAAGTTATCCTTCCAGGCTTCTACTGCTTTTGGTGCAAAGGAAGATATTAAGAATTAACTTTAACAATGTGGCAAAAAAAAAAAAAAAAAACTAAACATGTTAAGCTTAACCTCTGATAAACCAAAACTAAATGCATTTCCACCTTGTTCTGCTTTTTCAGGACTTCCAGTGCTATGTTAGTTTTGATAAAAACCATAGTCCAAACTAAGACTTTTAAAAGCAAGAGGCATCACAATATGCAACTATGCATGCCTATATAGGTTAGTTTAACCTATATTTCTTACTACCAGTCAAAATTTTGACATCACACAGATTCTTACCAATATTCAGTTTATCACGGTGGATGAATGTTCTGCACTTTGTTTTCATTATTACCCAAATCTCATTCCCTAGGCAAAGACATTTCCACTGGAGAATATAGAAAATTGCACAAAACTATATTATCATAATGAATCCTTTCTAATTGACATTGCAATTCATCATTGTGAACCACAAAATAAGAATGTTTACCAAGGATATTACCTTGCATTCTGGAAACTAATGCATCATCAACAAAAAGTAAAATTAAGATCATTCATCGTTCATGGATTCAACTATCCAATTTCAATGTTATTACATTGATATCCTCCAGAGAATACCAGATTCCACTCAGAATGTGGGCCTCCTAATCACTAGAAATTCAATGATCAAAGAAAATTTTCCCTTTTAGCATTAAATTGCACATATTGCAAATTTGATGCACCAGTAATGTGGAAAGAAGCAGAAGAAAAACCTATGACCTTTATTCATTTTTCATATTTTAGTAAGTTAAATTATTGGTTTCTAACAACTGTGCAAATAGAAATATATGATCTAACAAATAAAAGTTGCAGCACCACAGCTTCCAACCTATCAAATGCACCCATTAAGTATTTACTGCTAAACAGGAAGAACCGTATGGTACCTCTCCAAACTTTGAATCCGAAGAAGAGCCCGCCTTTGATTCCCTAGGCAAATTTAAAGCGGAAACATGATTGATATTGTGCTCATAGAGCAAGGCATGGTACCATATAACGATATTTGACATACCTTGTATCAACACCTTTGATAAATGTCGAAAATACTCTGCATTTTCCATTTGTGGATGTTGTTGCAAGTAGAATCTGTAGCAAAAAGAACTACAAAATAGACAATAAGACTTGCAAGAAATGGGTTCTTTTAGAAAAAAAAAAAAGATCATACACCTATTAACAAAATGGAATATACTTAAATCACCAGAGAAAAATGAGATACAGAAGCATCTAAAAAATATATTTTCAAATGACATGGATATGACCCTATAACATTCTGCAGACGAAGACAAACATAATTCTTAACATTTAATGTAACCAACTAACCCAGTTACCTTATGATACATAACCTGGTCATCTTACAGCAGTTTATTATAACTTACACGGTTTTGTTACTCCCACCAAATGAGATATTCAAATCCCACAAGCATCAAGTGTTTCTTCTTACTTTAATCAGGTAATAAAAGATTCATTGTTTTTTTACTACATTTATACAATGAGCATTGATGGTCAGCATAGAATACAGATAGTGTTAACTACCACGATTCTCAAGACCTCCATCAACACTACAATACCTCTTCCGAACTATTTAACCCATAATAATTCATCTTCAGCCTTGCCATGCCAAAATAAAACTTAATGGAGAAGCATTGATCGAACAAAAGTTTTGTCACGTACCAAATGACCATAATTTATAATCAATCCATAGAGACGTTCAAGCCCCTTGCCTCAAGAAGCTCACTTAAAATGAATTAACTTAAGGCATTCTCAAGACAATAAAGAATTTTGTAAACTTCCATGGAATGAGCTCATAGAAGATTGGAAGATAAGAATACAAAATTTTCAGCCAAAAGAGGCCAATGTTGAGTGTGACAAAAGAGAATCCAAAAATCAAAAAGAAATAAACACCCAGATTTTCTCTTTCATGCACGTGTGTGCATACATGGATGTATGTGCATGCATGTTTAAAAATATACATTTCTTTAACTATTCTTTGAAATTACTGACTTTTTAGATAAAAATCTATAATCCTCTGAATTTTTTTTGGCAAAATGCTAAGAAATGTCAGGTGTTTAGAAAAATGAAGAAAATTAAGTTGGGTAAAATAAGGGGAAAGGAATGGAAAGGAACAGGATGGTTTACAGGGTTACGTAACAAAGAGGGACCTAAGAATTAATCGATCATCTTGGTAGATTGGCATAACATGTATATGCCTTTTTGTCTATCACTTAAAGAATTCATCAAGCTTCAAATCATCCAATCCATATACTCATTTGACCACCACCAACTTCATTAGATGTTATTTCAAATTAAGAGTTTAAACCTAGGACAAACATTATCCTTAAAATTGGGTGTTGCTACAATGACAGCAAGAAAAAGGAGCTTAAAGCCTAAACCTATGAAAATGACCCTATCTTGTTGTTCTTCACGGTATTTGCCTATGCCCTCTTTGGTCAGACAAATTGTACGAATGATGGGAGTTCACCACTGGATGTAGACCCTGAGTTGGGTTTTGAGACAGCAACATGGGCTTGGACTCAAGCAGGTATGGCTTCTTAGAGATTAGGTGTTTTTATATAGTGATTGAATGGATGTGGATCCCAAGGTAGGGAAGGCACCTGTGTTGAGTTTCAAAACATGGCAAGGTTTCTCTTGAAACATGAGAAACATCCATTCATAAAGAGGACTAGAATGTGGATCAAATGGGCAAAGCATGGTGATAAACTTCTTGTGATTGGCTACAATTATTCCAGGCAGCTTCTTTACCATCCTCATCATTAAGCAGGACCTTATGGAACAAGGCTACTTGCTATCTTCTTACACTATGCAATCACATTCTTATAGAGTTTCAGCCATTTTAGATATAGGAATGTAGTTGTCTATACAAGTAATAAGAGGAACTAGAAATGTGAAAAAGTCGAGGAAAGGACTATTCTTGGGGAGTTCAAGTCCATGGCAACAAAAAATAAGATGATGCAAATTTGTCAAGAAATAAGGAAAGAGGTGATATGGTGGAGAACATAACCAAGAATCAAGTAAGGATGGCGAAGTCTAGTTAGAGAACAACTAATTTTAATGATTATAAACATGATTTCATTTTGAAAAGTGGAATGGTTTCACCAAAAATTTAAGAATTTGTTCTCATAAAAAGAGAAAAGCAATTAGCACTAACAAGATTAAAGGTTTAAAGCTGGGAGAAAAAGGGCAATCACTGCTACCACAAAGAGGTAGAAGCATTCCTTCCCCTTTGCGTTGTCCCCTCACTTTTAAATGTCAATACATTTAATAGTCTTTCCTTTTATATCTTATTTTACAAAATCTTTTGAAGGAAATCGGATTATCTGATCCATTTTCTCTTGACTTCACTAGAAGACTCATCCATACACTTGAAAAGGCAAGTTGAGACGTGGGTTCATCTATGCAACTTGTTGAAAAATATACTCTAGCATGTCCATGTTGACATGTTTTGACATACAGAGTTTCCCCAAATTTGTTGATGTTTTCCTATTCATAGCTATAGTCTAAGGCAGAGTATCTTACTTAGGTCAAAAAAACATAAACTTATATTTATGAACCTGCTAGAAGAGATGGTTCTGGGATGGTTTTTTTAACAATCAAAGCTTAAGGCTTATGTTAAACATGTTTAGCTTTTATCCTAAAATCCTTGTCCCTCGAGGGTCAATTTTTTCTTCTAAATGAAATTCCATCACTCACTTGACTACCATGCTAATGGCATGGGAGTCAAACAAAGCCTTGTAATACATGCAGATGCTTCAATTCTACCATAAGACAACTTGGCCACATCATAGAATAAATTTTAATAGAAGACCTATGTTGAATATAAGTACACTAAAGAGTGAAAAAATACATTTGCAAAATGCAACGAAGAGGGAAATATGCACGTTATTAGGATGCCAAACAACACTTGTGACAGAGGAATCATGTTTTTTCCTGATAAGTCTGCTGACCCACCTAGAGGTCACCTAGAAACAGCAAACCATAAAAATCCATGCATAGGATATATCAATATATTTAACCATTAGGACCACGATGCTTTCAAATTCACCGACATTTGGAAACAATCAAACATGAATGTCTTTATATATATATATATATGGAGAGAGAGAGAGAGAAAGGAAAGGTGAGAACTGAGACATTGAAAAATATTACTAGTTATTCTCTTGCTCATAATAGCATATGCACATAGTTTTAGTACGACTTCCGACAGCAAGCTTGTTTGCTGGGATTGTAAGAAGGAAAGCAATGAATTAGTTAGAACTTTGTCAAAGTGCTTGGAAAAGAGGACCCAATTACCCTTAGTTTTCCTAAAATGGTCATTACAAATCATAAGACATAAATATATGAAAAGTGTCAACATAGTAGCAAAAAAAACAAGTGTTAATACTCACATGGCTAAGCAGACTGTCTAAAGAAGTTTTTTCTTATCAAACAATTCAACTGAAATTCTAAAGATCCTACTCCACAAAATAATTCAGACTTCTCATAAGTCAGATGCGAATCTATTTTATAAGCTTCAGATCAATCATTAGTGAATAAACAGCTAGAACAATGAAACATGAAGTAATATGTATGAGTTAAATGGTATAAAAGAATGGTGCTATGCTTTGTTTTTAATAAATGAAGAAGGGAAAAGAAAACAACAACTAATAAATGGAACCAAGAAGGTGACAATCTGAGCACAAGGCTAATTTATCGTGCAGTACAGAGAAGTGAAGAACAACAATGCAAGGTGCAATCATGTTTAAGTACCTTTGGGGCTCCACTGAACACAAAGTGCAGCATGATTGAGCCTAAGAATGACAAGTGTCGGTACCCATTCTGGTCCTTCTTCGTTCCAAATATATCTTCAGAGAAGGTCACACATTTCAGTGGATAAAGAACACAGAAACAGTGCAATGGAGAAGAGAAAATAGCAAAATTAAAAAGAAACCAAACACAAACACAATTTTTTGCAGGCACTGTCCGCTTGTGTTTGTCCAAGCAGAGGAGAAGAGAATAGAGAAAGAAAGAGATCCAAACTGCTAAAATTTCTTCTTCTTTTTTTCATGTAAATAAAAATTAAAATTAAAATAAAAAGATAAGCACTCACGAATTCCGGTCATGAGATACAGTAACATGTCTGTTTGACCTCCCACTCCAATCTATCCCAGAAACAATTTGATCATGCTGAGGAAATATTCAAATAAAAATTATCATCTTATAAAAAAATCAAGCATAAGTTAAACCAAACTTAACAAAGAAAAGAATTATAATCCATGAATGTAGTCACTTCAACACCTAGAAGAATTTTCATTCTTTAACAAGAAAATCTATTAACCAAATATGAAGCTAGGACAGAATGTCCTTCCAAAAGAACAAAGGACACCAGACAGATTCATTTTCTTTAACACGAAGAGAGTGCCTTTTTTAAAAGATTTTAGACTGTGGAGCTGTTTTCTTCATGTTTTAGTATGGTTCTCAACAGGATACTTGTACCTTAGGGTTTCTATTATATCTTGGTCTTTCTCATCTTTTAAATTGTGTAAGGCATATTTAGGAATTCTAGCCTAGGAACACTTTAAGAGTTCAAAAGTATTCTTAAATCTCAGATAATTTATTTCCAAATTCCAATTATTTGTTGCAATCCTATTCTGAACAAGGCTTCTAGTTGGGGAATCTTGAAACTTGTTCATATTTGCAAGATCAACAACCAAACTGCTAATTTCAGTCTTCTGATCTCACCTTTTAAAGTTTGGCTTTCATGCAACTTCTATAAATCCCTATGTCACAATTCAGAACTAATCCGATAAGTTTCATAGTTGCTTACAATTTTTCCTGCTCATTTAAAGCCTAAAAGAGGTCCAATCGCAGGCCAATAACATACCATAGGTTGAAACACATATCTGCAACAGTCCTCCATGCTTCTGCCGTACTTAAACATGAATCCAACATGTTGTCATGCAATCTGTACTGCATCCTTCCTCAAAGCAGTCATCTTATATTTTCCTCTTAGAATCACATTTTTATTCTTCATTACAAAAGAAGCTTCACCCTAAGTTCAAGTCATATTCAATGTGCAAATTGAGTATCCAAAAAGTAGCAGGTAAAATGATTCCAAACTGAAAAAATCAATAGCTATTCGAGATAAGTTTAGGATACACTGCATACATATTGGACCAACTTATATCGAACTGGCTTCGTACAGGGAAAGAAAAGGGGGGAAAATTTTTCAATGAAGTACCTTCTGAAGAACATGAACTTTCTCCCACTTGTCTTCCAACAATTTATAAATATGAACCTCATTATTATTAAGAAAAATGGTACCACTACAAGCAAGAAAAAGCAAGTTACATATTTAGAAAAAAAATTCTCAGAAAAAAACATTTCATGCAATTTAAAATAAGAAGGACCATACCTGTAGTTTTAGAAGATACAATAATATAAGCTTCAAATATAAAAGCAAAAAAATAGCATATTCATAATAACTGGATCAATTTAGAATAAGAAACTAAAATGTAAAGAATCAATAAATTGAATCATTACTTTCGTTTTCCTTTAAAATTTTACATTTCTAAGACAATAATACATGACAACAACATTAAATTCAAAAAAAAAAAAACTTATTTTCTTTTGTTTGCTACAATTTCACAGCAACCAAACAAAGCATGAGCGAATTTCGGGGAAAAAGAAAGAAGTTACTGGAGTTATCGGGACACAAGCATGGCAAGTAATGCACTGATCGAAATGGTGAACGGCGACGGCCGCCATTGTTTTAGCTGACTAATCGAAATTTATTTGTATTGAGCTGCGAATGCGATGGAGAAAGATCTGTGGTGAAGAGGAAGAAATGGAAGTGTGAAACTGTGAAGAGATCTCAACTTCTGTTTAAAGTCTCCGTCGATAAACGGGCAGGCTTAGAAGATACGAGGAATGATTTTGGTGTCGATATTTTTTTTTTTTTCTTTTTTTTTTTAATTTGTTAATTACAGCTTTGGTATTCGAACTTAAAAAATTGTACAAATCGGTATTTAATAAATGTATAAATCACCTACATATTTTGCCATATTTAACATCGTTAACTTAATTGGAAAAAGTAGCATCCAAACCATTAAAATCAACCTACATAGTTTCCCATGTGTTAATTAAAAGATATTAATCATCACATAAAAAATCCGCATGGAAGCCACTCCGACATGTTTGAGAAAAACTTTTATTAGGTATCATTTTAAAAATTATTATTTTAATGTAATCATCAAAATAATTTTATCATTCATGATTTAAAATTATTTTATTTAATTAATAATCATTAATTTATAAAAATTAAATATTATTATATTTGATATTATTAAAGATCAAATATAATTTTATAGAGAAATATAAAAATAACCATTATTATTATAATAGTTACACAAATTAATAATTTTAATATTATTTAAAAATAATAATTTATAAAATACAATAATATTTATTTATTTTATAATAAAGTTTGACTAAATTCTTAAATTAATAACTATGTACATATTAGGTAAACCAATATTTATGGTATAAAATATGTAAAAATCATTCCAATTAGAAAATAAAAATAATTTATTAAAATTATAATAAAAAAATAACAAAATACATAAAATATTTTTTTAATTTGTTACCAACATTAATTTAAAAATATAAAATAATTATAATTTTAAGAAGAAATAAGTTTATAATTCATATATTAATTAGATAATTTTTATTATTACAAATTTTACTTATCACTTTATTTCGATGGTAAACATTTTTTTTTATGATAATTAAACCACCTTCTAAAATAATGATTTCATCATTCTCGATGATCCAAATCACTGTCACGTAAGATCATCAAATATTTATTAACAACAATGATCTAATAATATGTATAAATTACTATAATTTTTAAAATGATCATCCCATACCAAACTTTACCTCAATGAATTTCTTTTTCTTCATTTAATTATTTTGCAGCTATATTTTTCTTTTATTTTTTCATAAAACAACATCAAAAAATAATTTTTTGAAAAAACGAAATTAACATCTTTAAAAAAATCATAAATAGAAAACAAAAAACCTAAAAAAAAAACCCTAATGAAATACCCAATTTCAAACAAAATTAAATCTCTTAATAAAATCGCCAATTCCAATAAAAAAATCTCTATAAAAATTCTCAATTCAAAATATAAAGAGCATTGGTATTTTGAAGCATCCAAGAATTTGTTATAAGTTTTGAAATTTCTAAGATTTGCTGGAAATTTCGATTTTATGAAAATGTAAGATACAAACAAGAATTCACCCTTAAATTTCGGATTGTTTTAGGTTTTATAATCAATGCGAATTTGGGTTTTCTTTAAAAATTTTCTAATTACTAGTTATCAGTTTTGGAGTTGAAGCAAGTGATGAGAATCTTAAATCGTTTTACAGAGACAACCTGGCAACTCAAACAATACAAACAAGACATTGGTTTGAAGCATTCATCTACTCCATCTTTGTCAAAATAAAGAAAGTCCTAGTCAGAAACTATAATTGAGATTGATGTACTTTTATCTGATGCTAATTGTGATGAACAGAAGCAACCTTTTTTTTTTTTTTTTGGAGTCTTTCATGTCTTCCAATTTATACAAAATTTCTGTAATCGCCTTGTCAATTAACTATTTTCTAGCATCAAATGCTAATGCCATTGAGCATCGCATATTTGGAGGTTCACTTGGGTCGGAAAAGCTTTGGATCAGGCTCAACACTATTTCCAACCATTTCCATTTGCTAATCATGCTTCTAAAGATTTCAATCCCTTGTCCTCATATCCATTTCTTAAATTGGAACCAATAATAACCTTCATTTTCTTCTCAAGATTCATTATAGCCATTCGACAAAATTGGAGTTGTCAGAAGGGCCAATTTTTTCATGGAACGTTTTCCGTTGGCACCTAATTCCGCCTTTGACCTTGCTCTTGCATTTCCGTTGCTCTGATAAACGGCATCAGTGGAAATGGCTGACACTCCACTATGGCTCACAATCCCAGTAGAAGTTGAAGAGAATAAGCTCACTGAAATGACATGTTACATCAGTTCAATGATCTGCTTCGATATTTTCTACAATTAAACCAGTTTAATGACATGGCTGCCTACAATCTAGGCCAATAAAGGCGCGTTATACTGAACATTTACACTAGGGAATCACCCATTTTTTGGCTTAATGCCAACTCTGGTGCTTTATGATTGTAATGCCAATAGCTTAATTACTTGTCACGTAATTTAAAGCAATGAGTTTCCTTTAGATTACCTAGCCTTTTATCCCATTAATAATAATCTCAAATCACAAAACAATATATCAGTGGAATACCAAGTCATAGAACCCAAAAAAAAAAAAAAAAAGAAAAGGTATAAAAATTCTACTTAAAGAAACAAAAGTAAATTAATTTACATGATCCAATAGAGAAAAGACATAAATATTAGAAAAAAACCCAAATTTAATGAGTGTTAAATAAAAGTATGATCGATTGAGTTCGAATTGATACAGTATTAAATTTGAATTCGAGTTTGACTTTAAATTCGATTCGATTCGATCTCGATCGAGTTTTATTTTTTTAACTCGAGTTCGACTTGAAATAGAAATTGAGTTAATCGAGTTCGTTTGATTAGGCTCAATAATATGTAAAAATAAATTCAATTCTTATATTCGACAAAAATTTGATTATTTATGCTCGAACTCGAGTTTAAAATATTTTATCAATTAAAATAATTAAAATATATTAAAATTTGTAAGCTCGATTAGACTTACGAACAACTCGAGTTGGATATAAGAATATTCGAACTCAACTCGATTGATAAGTCAAACTACTCAAGCTTAAGTTCAACTTGATAATAATTAAGTAAAATTATAGTTTTATTCGAATCGAACACGAGTAATTTACAAGTACCAATATATTATTTACAATCTTAGTATTATGTCACATATATATAAAACAACAAAAAAAAAAAAAAGATAGTATGAATGAAAAATACCTATAGATTTTTCACAAATATAAATCAAAATACTAATGCTCTTTATATTCTGAATTGAGAATTTTTATAGAGAAATATTTTGATTGGAATTGGGGATTTCAAGCAAAGATTTATTTTGTTTGAAATTGGGTAGTTCATTAGGGTTTCCTTTAGGGTTCTTTTAATTGTTTGCTATTATTGAAAGTTGTTTTTCTCTTTTGAGACTTTAATTTTGATTCTTCAAGAAGTTTTTTGAGATGTTTCATGAAAAATAATAATAATAATAATAAAAGAAGAAATAAAAAACGTGGCTGTAAAAAAAATAAAAGAATGTAGAAAATATTAAAATTCTTGATAAGCATTCTAATGTGGATGCCATATGGGAGCTATGTAGAATTTTCATGTGATATTTAATATTTTTTAATAACAAATGGCAAATATTTGGTATGATTTATTGGTTAGATAATATGTATGCAAGTTAATGGTGTTAGTAGATGGGCTAAAAGATTAAACATTTTAAAAGTTCACATTTTTTTATTGAATATGAATTTGTACATTTTCTTAAAGTTTAAGTATCAAAATTATAATTAATTTTTTTTAAATTAAAGCCATTTCTTCCATGAAAAATATTTTAATTACTATTGTTATCAAATTAATTAATGAGTTTAATCTTGAAAGGAAAAATACAAGGTTTTTAAATTATTATTTATTTACTTTATTTTTTTAACTTTTATATTACTCAATAAAATATAAAATTAATTGCATATTTGATATCCAAATTATAATCAAATTTTCAATTTATATATAAAACTTAAAAAGTTACAATTAAGTATTTAAATATTATTTTTGTTCATCAATTTGCATACGAAATTAAAACTATTAATCAAATAGATAAAGTTAAAAGAAAAAGCAATAAAAACATGTCATGTGTTTCAAAATGTTTGTTGATAGTTTGATAACAAAATGTTGTTCATATATTATAAAAGGAATTTCCAAAATCATAAATACGAAGGTATTATAAAGATCGTAATAATGAATCTAAAGTTTTATTTAATTGATTCATATAATTACTCTTAACAGATAATATTTAATAAGTATGAAATTCAAATCTTAATATCTATAACTTTTTTTTTTATATTTCAACTGCAATCTCTTTTATAATATATATATATATATATATATATATATATACAAAGACCATAATAATAGTACAATAAAAGATGATGTAGATATTTGAATTTGGTTATTAATATTTTATTTTTTAAAATTTCTCTAAAGTAGTTAAAATTAAGGATAAATCAGAACAAATAATAAGACTGTTTTAGTGAAAATTATTTTACTTGATAAATGATAAGACTATTTCAATAAAAGTTATATTATGAATAATTATTCATGAACAACTTTTTTTATAGAATAACTATTAACAGAACAACTATTTAAGAAATAAAACTCTTTTACAAAACAACGGTTCTTGGAATAATGGTATCAAAGAACAAGACCAACACTTTTACTAAAAACCCTTAAAACATAAGTTGCTTTACTAAAAATTATTTTACAAAAGATGCTTCATTGAATGTTATTGTACCGAAAGAAGAACTAAAAATAATCTCGAAATATGATAAGGTTCTTAAGTTAATTCTATTATTAGGATGTTCGAAAGAATTTGACTTAATGAATCAGATATAGAGATAATTAATAAGTTTTCTCTTAATCTTTTCTTAAAATATGAGTGTTTCTCTTTTTCTTTTAGAATTTTATATTTACTATATCTATTACCAAAAAACTAATTTGTAACAATCAATTCTCTCACTATTTATCATTATTCCTATTCGATACTCAAAATATATAACTTATATTCTTAAAACTTATAAATAAGAGTTTTCACAATTTATGAGTTAACTTTTAGATTTTGACAAATTTGGACAAAGTTCTCACAACTTTCTCTCAAACTCTCTTTATAATCTTCTCTTCCTAAATCCTTCTTGGAGCTTTATTTTCTTTTCTACTCAGCCTTACTTTATCATTTACCACCACCTGCCAATGTACTCAATACATCAAGGTCTGCTCTAAGTTTTCTCTCTATCGTCTCTGGACACATCCTATTTTATTTGTTTGCAACGCTTCCTCACTTAACAAAAAACCCGTTTACAGATGGTCACTCTTCTTCTTGTTTCATATACAATTTGAGGCAACGGACAAAACTGATTTAAAGTTTAAACTCTATTTTGTTGATATATGATGCAATACATTGATAAGAGACGACATTACTAGAACAAGGGATTTTCCCATTACTATATACACTTGATGCTATAAAATATAGTAAAGGCTTGGCCTAACAGTTGTTTTCCCTCGTTATGAGGGATTTGTACCCTTCTTCCACCATTGGACATGCTCATACCTAAAGAAAAAGTACAAATTACACCTCAGATTGAACAGAACTAACTCTCAAAAGATGGCCTCTCTCTTCTGCTTCAATATTTAAACCTGAGGACTCAGTATTTGGGCCATTGCTTGGCAAGCTTATTGTTTGGCTTGGATTTTGCCAGAAGTGTTTAACCAAGGCCTTGAATTTTGAATTAATGGAGGAAAACCCAAGATCCGAGAGGAGGTCTTGAACAGCAGTTCGACCTTCGAGCATGCCCACAACCTGTGACATGGTAGGCCTCAGGGTGGGAGATGCATTGGTGCAGAGGAGAGCCACATTCAGCATGACCATTGCCTCCTCTGATGAGTATTCTGATCCCAAGTCTGGATCCACCAACTCCAACAAACTTCCCCTCTCTCTCAAAACATAGGCCTGAGAAAATAACAAGCATCAAAGAAATGCTTAACCAAAAAAAAAATGCAGCTGAATTTATAGGACATTGAACAGAAGTTCTGCAGGAGAAAACCATGGGAAGACAGCCAACATTATAGACAGTTGTGTGTTCCAATGAATAACAAAAAACCAAATAGGAAACCTTACTGGTGTAAAGAAAGTGGATTAAAGAACTTCAGGAGAGATTTAATTTACCCAGTCAAGAAGGTAAACAAAGTCCTCATTCGGCCTATAGTTTGTGTTGCTCTTTCCACTAACAATTTCTAATGCAACAACACCGAAGCTATAGACATCAGCTTTGTTGGTTAAGTAACCACGCATTGCATACTCAGGAGCCATATAACCACTACAGAATCAAAGAACGAAACTGTTAACAAATAATGCAAATTTTCAGGGCACAGCAATTTAGTAGATAATTCATACCTTCAGTTCATGGGATTTAAACAAGGCTGATGTTGGTTATAAAATGACATGGGCACCATTAGCAATTTTGGGAGCAGAATTTAGAATATTAACTGCATGCATTAAAATCATATGAAGAATTTGCTCTTTACAAACTTCTCTGGTCAATCAAATGCTCAGCAACATTAAGCCTGATCAGAGTTTCCTCCAAATGATGAGGTCAAAGCATTACATTTTTCAATTTTACACAGCTATGCCACTAATGAGTAGAAGTAAAGTGAAAAGGCTGAACAAGTTATCATAATAAAACTTACATAGTCCCAGCAATTCGAGTGCTGATGTGGGTTTTGTCATCTTCATTTAGCTTTGCCAGACCAAAATCAGAAATTTTTGCATTGAGATTCTTATCAAGCAACACATTACTTGTTTTAATATCCCTATGTACAATTTTTATTCTGGACTCTTCGTGGAGGTAGGCCAAACCCCTGGCAATACCAAGGCAAATTTTTTGCCTGGTCGGCCAGTCCAGTTTCAGTTTGTGTGTAGCATCCTTCCCTGTTATTAAGCAGAATAAAAGCCAATCAAAATTTGAGTGATGACTTCTAAGGGTGGGTTTCAACAAACTAGTTTACATATCATAGATAATTAGAAGTTCTAACTTACCAAAAAGAGCACGGGATAGACAGTTATTTTCCATGTACTCAAAAACTAGTAATAACTGGTTTCCCTCAACACAACATCCATAGAGCTTCACAAGATTTGGATGCTGCAGTGCAGATATCATGCCTATTTCATTCACAAATTCACGATTTCCCTGCTTAGATTTTGATGACAGCTGTTTCACTGCAATAACCGTTCCGTCTGACAATAGACCCTGCATTCAGCGTTGAAAGTTGCAGCTTTGCATTTAACAGTGAAAAGAGAAATTTTGAATTTTAATCGTGCAAAGGCATGGTTGTATGCATGGAATATATTGACAAAAATTGCTTGCACTTGAGTGTTTCTATTGGGATTGTTTTACTCTTCCCTTCTTACTAAAAATTTTTCAGTGATACATATTGTCCTCAAAATCTTTATGCAATTACTTATCCAAAAAAAAAAAAATCTTTATGCAACAATCTATGAATCTCATCAGGAAAATCCAGAGGACTCCCCAAAAATGACCACTTATATACACCAGAAGACATCTGAGGATAATAAGTGACAAGTTAGTTTTAATAACCCTTTAAAAATAAAATGTTCCTATTTAAAACCTAATTTGTTGGACCAACTTTGGATCATAACCTTGTTTCTTTGTCAGGAGATGAAACTGACTTGGACAATAAAAACCTTTTGATTCATTGGATTGTTATCATGGACCTTTTATGTTTAGCTTGAAGAAAACTATGATGAACCTTTTTTTGGAAAATGTGATAGTGGACTACACAGTGCAAGTTAGCCCTCTCGCATCCCATAAATCCCACCCTACCCATCTCAAGATATGAACTCAAGACCTCCAAGATGGAGTCTTCAGCTCTAAGCACTGAGGTGTCCCCTTGGGGACTATGGACATTTTTAATAGATGGTCAAAACTAGATGACTTGGATATAAGCACTTACCTTATACACAGAACCAAAGCCACCCTCACCAATTTTGTTTTTAGCATCAAAGTTCTTCGTTGCAGCTTTAATCTGTCTTAGACTGAAAATTCCTGTTTGCAAATCCAGGCCTCTCAGCTCTGCAAAGAAAGCAGTTTTAGATGTCATAGAGGCAAAATTGTATATAAAGTCTTTTAATAACTTTGTGTATGATAATTAAGCCATATCATGCTTTCTGATAGCTGCAACACAAAGAAGATTGAAGAAACCAAAATCTGAAGTCATGGAGCTCAAGTTGAAGCTGCGATGATGAATTTTACCCAAAGCCAGGCTACTATGAAATACATGCATAAGATAGAAGTTGAACAACAATGCTATGTTTCTTTTCTTTGCCCAATGCAGTAAACAGAAACACTACCATAAAGCAATCCACTATCAAGAACTCTCAGAATTCTGTAAGACAGGATATTATGCATGTTATTTCCTATGCAGACAAACATTTTATATTTTGGAAAATGGACAACAAAGTCAGGATCTTGTATTTTTAAAAACTTCATGTATGATATTGTTAACTATGCTGACATTGGTGTCTTGTTCTTCTGCCACTGTATACACTAAAAGGATATAAAAACATGTTCTGGTTAGAAGCCGAGAAATTAGATTTTATGTCTGATTGATTTTATCTAAAACTTCAACAAGAGCCATCCAGACCTTTAACATCTTCCCTTCTATTATGTACAGTCCAACAAGGTCTCAAATATGTGCGGTTCACAAATTTGATTTTTGAATGTCAATGGATTAGGACTTGAGCAAGTACAAAAAATTACAGAGTTCAGAAAATGTGGAATACCTTTTTCAGCAGAAATTTTGCCTCCCAGCCAACCTTTTCTCCAAATGATACCTAAGACCATAAGGGCAATAACTATTGCTGCAGTTGCTGCCACAACCACCACTACCAGATAATTCCTTTTGCCAACAACAGTTGGAGGCTGAAAATCTGATTAAGAAGAAAATTATTCCCAATCAGTTTACATCAAAAAGTCAAACAAAATTGAAGCCTGGAAATCACAGAACTGGCAGCAATTTTATTAGGATTATACATCTCATCATAATCGTAAACTCTTCAAGAACCACTTGAACTACACAGATTGAATTCGATACAAACAAAATTCTCTGGGGTTGAATGCAATATACGGAAAAAAAATTTTTGGCAGATTTGAAGGGAAAAAAACCTTAGCTTGTACATTTATTTGTCATTGTAAGTTCTGAGTTGGACTACAATTAGTAATGTTCAATATAATCCTCTAGATGGCAATGACTAATGGAATGGGATAAAAACTGCTAATGTCTCCATCCAAGGATCCAAACCTAATAAACAGCATTATAATATACAAACCATAACTATTAATAGTTTACAGGGAGTTCAGTTAGTATGATCAACCCTTTAGCCGCAAAACACTTGATTGTTGAAATGCTCTTGAATACTCTACTGCTGTTTATTAATGATGAAATGCAAGACAAAAGACTTTCTAGAGTTGGCGGCAACTTACTTGGAACCACTGATATAGCTGAAATTAGAGGGCCGTACATCCCCCTTGCTGGTATGCCTGTAGTCCCCCTCCCAGCCCAGTATAAGTGGATTTTTAATGTATTTCTTGTCACGACAGCCGTAAAGTTTTTTACAATGGGCTTACCAGTACCACCAGCTTCCTCTTCAATATTAAAATTTTTCAGCACCAATTCTCCCTACATTCATACAAAAAATAAATTATAAAATTAGGAGATACAATTCTCAAATGTAAACGCATATTTGTTTCTTTATTTTTCATATATTACATATGTATGCTGAAAAGTTTACTTACCTGGATATATACATCAAATATACGTTTCCCAAGGCTGTAAAATGATCGATCATTTTTGAAAATAATTTCTGCAAAGTGCAGACTAACAGTGTAGTTCCCCTTCATCAGGCAAAGTCCATAATATGTGAGAGAGAGGGGAGAAATACGTGCTGTTGTGTAGAGTTCTGATTGAATTGCAGAGATATTAGACAAAGCAGAAGTATTGGTAACAATGTAGTCATCTGCATCAATATCATTATCCATGAAGTTTCCAGTGCTGCTTAATGCCCAGTTCTGCCCCGGGTAAAACATAGAAGCACCTCTTGGTTCTCTATCAGTTTCATATTTGGCAACGCCACTGATATTTAGTTCCTTCCCCCCACAATTAATGTGCAACGAGTATTTATCTGTTAATAACAAACAATTTAATGGATTTAAAAGATTTTTTTTGGCAAAACAAGGAAGATAATCGGACATCCTGGTTAGATGAATCAACTAAGAACAACAAATACGTTAAATTTTCATGGTGCACTAACTTCTTTCACTAGCTTGCCTACTGGTGAAGGATGAGTGATTGTTTACCAGGTTGGTAAATTAGCATTAGCATACCACATTAAGTCACATATTAAATTTCTATATTTTTGTACTTTTTGACAAGCAACAAGAGGACTAAAAGAGTTTTATCAAAAAATTTGTTAATTTCCCAGAGGGTACAAATAAGATAAAGCATTCCCTTGTTTAGACTCTTTCTTCCATAGAGATAATCACAGCTGTTAGTATATTTTGTTTACCGTGGTCATATAAGTGCTTCCTAGAAGCTATTTCTCCTACCACATTTACAAAGTCAGATTATCTCTAATAAAGTTGAAGGAGAATTCTATAGCTTTCATCTCCAAGGATAAAAGAAAAAAGGCCCCAAAAATTGACTTACATTGACTAGGAGAAGCAGAACATGGGAAGGTCTGTTTTAGACATGAAGGAACTCTACTTCTGCACCGAGATAGCAAAACCCAAAAGAGAATCAATAAGCATTTTCTTTCAATAAAATCACATGAAGGTACAGAGCCATCTATGAAAACCATGTGCAATATCAAACTTCCTCAACAGCTCAATTGAATATTCAAGGCACAAAATGCTTACAATTTATTTGCTGATGTGGAGTAGCTCTCAACCAAGTTCCTGGAAAATTAGCAAACAGCTTTACTATTTCACTTTATACATGCCGATTTATGACTTACGATCAAAGAAATATAGCTTAAAAATAACTCACACACTCCCTCGAGGACATTCTATAGGACTTGAGGTTTCCCAGGTGAAATTGTTGTAAGATATATCCCTGTAGAAAAAAAATCAAGGAAAATATCATCCATTATCCACTATATTAATTTGTAGTTCCTGAGGCAATATCTTGACAATATTTAACTTGATCACTAATTAGTATCAACAGAGGACTAAACTAGCTAGTTAAGATACTGTATTTGTTTGACCATCATCACAAAAATGATTGATTACTTCAAAATTCACAAACAGGCAATTGACTCGGAAATTAAGGACATGTTATAGTTTCATCATTGTAATAGAAAGTTATAGATATGTTATATATATACATACACATTTTTATTTCTTTCTAGGATCCACTCAGGCACAGACCCGGAGAGCTGATTTCCAGTCAAATACCTACAAGAAACAGCAACAAATAATAATATAAAACCATAAAATCTCTTATTATTGACAATAATATTAAGTTGATTAGACTTGCAAAGCACAATCACATCCTCATACATGAAATCTGCTTTTGTCAGTTTGTAGAATGATCCAGGAATTTCTCCAGTCAAGTTATTATAGCTGAGATCCCTGCATTATAACAGCAATGCATGTGTAAAATTTCAATTACTCCAACCAAAAAAAATTCAATCAAAAAATGTTATTATTGAAGAATTTCAGAGAAAAGGAAGGTTTCTGCCTCTTGTTATGCATCAAACCTAAAACAAATTGGTAACTGGAGTAAAGCCAAACCAGGATATAAGACGGCCACAATAGACCCTCCCTTAATCAGTGTGGAATAGCACCACTTTAACACTCCATCTCACATGTAGGCAAAATACTAACAACTGAAACAAATAAACCAAAGACATGGACACCAAATATAGGAAAACAAGCAACAACCATAAACAACTCAGACAAACAACTTGGGCTCTGATACAATGCTAAGCCTAAGCATCCAACCTAAAACAAATTGGTAAAGAGTGTGAGGAGACATAACTTGAGAATAGGGGAAAGGAAAACTCCAAACTTAATCAACAACATATCTGTATTTAGATGTACATGTATGTATGATTGAGAGCATGCATGTGTTAGGCCACACTCCTATTCTAGTGAGGCCTTGAATTCACCATACAAGTGAAAAATCAGAGACTAGAAGTAATTTGATTTCAATACAGCCATAGCTTGATGCTACTTACAGAGTTTTCAATTTCTTCATATCACCAACATACTCTGGGATTTCTCCATATATTAAGCAGTTCCTTAGTATCCTGTGTTTGACAATTTGATATGATTCTAAGAACTAGATCCTAGATCACCACCCATGTGAATTTGAAAGTATTTATACAAAAATACATAATATAAATTAGATTCTACTAACAATGTCTTCAGTGAGTCGATGTTAAGCAATGGTGGGAAAGGAGATCCTCTGCCTTTTAAGTCACTAATCCTCCTAACAATCATTCAAAATAAAAATAGTTATTAATGAAGTGATCTGCAAAAGAAGGAAAAAATTAAAATCAACATTAACTATCACTGTGGCATACAGATCAGATAAGCTAGTCAAAGCAGAAATGCTGGAAGGTATGGGTCCCTCAAGAGAGCAACCCTGAATCTGCCTGAAAAGGGAAAAAATTAACTAAATTATAGCAAAAGGAAAAATAAGAATGCCGTCTAAAATACTAGGCTAAAGTTTGAAAACTCACAGTTTTTGAATGTGCTTCCAGTTACCGATGAAATCAGGTATCTTTCCAGAAAAGTTATTGTCATTTATCCTCCTACAACGTTTCAAAGAAAGAAAAGCTTGTAAGGGGTCCTAGCAAACGCACTCTAGATCAAAATTTTGATGAAAAAAAAGTGGAAGATATCATGGTCTTGATTTGGAACTATACCATTAATCATAATTATGATGATTAACAAAATGCCTAGACAAAGAAGAGCAGAGTGAATTATGGTTGAATAAAGAGGGCTATCACCTACAGGTAAAATCCTTGTTAGCACAATCAGCTGCTAAGACAAGGATAAGAGAAGCAGGTTGCTTCTGTTGATGATGATTAACTGTCTAAACTTAGAGACCATTCTCTAGTACAGTGGCAATGAAACTGAGCATTATTGCTTCCGGTACAGTGCCATTGAAATTGAACAATACTGCTTAGAAGTATAACAGTATAAAAAAAAGTCTTGAAATTACACTTCATAAAATAATTGCTACAAAGTAGAAACATCAAGATCACCCATAGCAAAACTCTGCTTTGGCGTAAACAACTCTTGTTAATGACCATCAACTCATAGACCTAGCACCTATAAATTAAACAATTTTGGAAGTCAAGGTTATCTGCTTACATATCTGTCAAGTTGACTAACTTGGCAAGTTTTGCTGGCAATTTTCCATCGAAGGCATTTGATGACAAAATACTGAAGGGAGAAGATAATAGCAATGTTAATAACAGCAATCAAAAAGCTTTGGGGTGACCCAAATTCTAGTGCTTTTGCACAAAAGAAACGATGAAATGAATTACAGTTTCTGTAAATTGATCAACTCTCCAATCTCTGGTGGAATGGATCCTGAAAAGTTGTTTCCTTCAATAGACCTGGAAAGGAGGAATGAGATAGTATCTAGTTTAAGTAAAGAAAATTGAAATTATTCTACATGAGATTGGTAAGGTAGGTGGAAGGCTCCAAATTGTACAATGGAATCAAACGAAAAGAAAATCTTTATAACATAATAGAAGGGTAAAAAATAAAAAATAAGGATTTGTGCATACAGGTTTGTGAGGCTGGTGATGTTGGTGAGAACTTTTGGGAATGGACCAGACAACCTGTTCCCCATAAAAGAGCTGCAAAATTGAACTAACATAAGCTTATAATTTGATCAATTACAACAAAATCATATTTAACATTACAAGAGAGAAGTGGTAGGATGTTTACAGCATTTCCAACTTCATGGTAGCCCATTCTTGAGGAATAGAACCTGTGAAGTAGTTACGACTTAAGTCCCTAAACAAGCAGAAACAAAGTAGAATTAATAATAAAAATGATAATCTAGATTTGAAAATAAACTGATCATATTGTTATAGTTCAAGTCAACTAGACAAATGTATGTGCTTACAGCAGTTTCAGGTGTTGAAACTTGGAAAACTCTGGTGGTAAAGTTGCAGAAATATTCGAAGCAGTTAAAAATCTGCAAAACTTTCTGCACCAAATTAGAATTCCTTGACAAACAAAAAACATTGACATTTCTTCATATACTTGATTCAAATACCACAAAAAGTCTGCTATAGTTTCAATTACGTTCCAACTTTCCATTGAGCTAATTAATCTGCAACCAGGTTCATCAATAAAACCAATTATTCCAATCCATGACAATTGAATTTTTTTCATCGAAAAAGGGAAACAAAGTATGATGCTCGGTCTCTAAAGAGAGTTAACTAGATGGAAGAGGTCTATCCTTTTTAATGTAATTCATCTTATATTTCTTCATATATCTTTTGAGGGTGGAGCATCTAAACCCATTCCTACCCGACCTCCATCTTTTCTTTATTTTCATTCCCAACACACCCGATTTTTACACAAAAAATCCTTCATTGTCAAGTTGGGCCTAACGGGTCAGGTACGAGTTATTTTGCCACCCAATTAAGGATAATAAATGTTGCTTACTTTAACATTTTCCTTTTTCGTTGTTCCTAAACCACGTATCCATGCCCATTTTGAAGTGTTACGTAATTATATAATGTAAATACTTTAGAATATAGCTGCGAAAGAAGTTGGAATCCAGCCAACTAACAGCCTAAAATTTTCAACATCAGACACACAAAGTAGCAGCATGCGATGCCTAGCATTTCACTACTTTAAGCAATAATTATGTCTGTTCACATTGGCAGGAAACATTAAATGTTAAAACCAAAAACAAAAAGGATCATCCTAAATTTAGAATATTCAGGGGTTAGCACTTCACCCAAACTTGGAAGCTGAATCCAACCAACTAAACGATGAGCTTTGTTTAAAGATACCACTAATTCAATATAAACATATAAATATAAGTAACATAATGTTTTTTTTTTTTACAAAATAGTCACAGTTTGAGAAAAAAAAAAAGGTTAGAAGTAATAAAATTTAAACCTCATAATTACAAGACATTACCATTCAAGGATAGCTACATAAATCAACTCTGATGCTCCTTATTCAAAAGTAATATACTGTTGCTAGCATAAGAATTTGTTTCATTAACTTATTAAACTGTTTGAGCCACTGAATGCTTGGGCCTGAATTAGGCCTGCCCATTTATACCTCTACCGCATACTTGTCCTCTGCCACGCATGATTTTGACGTTTATTTTTATAGTAGCTGTCAAAATTGGGTACCCCAATTCCCAGCCTGAAAGCTGCTTTGAGGAAATGGACCCCACTAACTCCAGAAAGGAATTTTCTTTTACCTCATTAGGGCCCTTGACATAAAAATCAACCAAAAGATACGCAAAAAAGAAAAGCAAGAGCTGCAAAAATAATAGTACTACTTTGCTTCAAGAAGAGAGAGAAAGAGAGAATTTTTAAAGAAGAAAAATATTTAAACAAAGTTATTGTTTTGATGTATGAAGAAAGGAGTGCAAAACCGACAAAGTTGTAAAATCCAGCCATGGGTGAGTGAGTCTTTGACAAAATCATTGGCTTTCAGTCTCTGGGTTTCCACCAAAATTTCCTCTCTTCTTCAGATAGAACTTATAATCATCATTAACAACCCAAAACAAACAGTCAATATAATTTAATTGCCACCAAAAAAAAGAGAAGACTGATAAAGAAAGAAGAAAGAATCAAGAAAAGAACCAATAGAAACTGTGGTGAGAATAAATTAAGAAGAAAGAATTAATGGGAAGAGAGGCAGTACATGCTTACTACATGGCAGGTCTTGTTGTTGTTGAAAGAGCAATTACAGGTCACATTGCTTGCAAAACCAGTATCTTCATCTTCCTGTACTATCCAATTCCCTTTTCCAGTGCATGGATCTACCCCAAAATCCCAATCCTTCTTCCCCAGCTTCATCCCTATTGCCTTCAGTGCCTTCACTGCAGCAGCAATACATGATATATACAACAATTAATCGAATGTTTGATTTGCTAAATGCTGTGAAAGGAATTAGAGACAGAAACCCAAACTTTTGGTGAGCTGAAACTATGGGGATACAGTATACCTTCTTCAGGATGAAGAATAGGAGCAGCAGCTAATCCAAAGCTTGCAAAGCAAACCAATGCAATGAAACATGAAAGGTTTGCAAGCAGAAGAAGCTTTGGAGTTGTCAAATCAGCTCTCCCCATGTGGGTTTCTCTTGGATTGTGTCTTTAGTTCTAACCCTCAACTCTCACTCATCAGACACACACAAAAACAAAGAGATGTTCATACTAAACCCCGAATCACGGTAGTGGATGTGCAAGTAGAGATAAAACGACAAATATATATTGGTCAAAATATTCTATTCTTTATACACAATAATTTGTTCAAAAATATTGTCCTAATATCATAACGTGTGAAAAGGGTACACCAATTGAATTTTCTTTTTAATCGTGGATCGATTATTTGAAATAGATTAATTTATACAATTAATTTTAGCTCAACTGATATCAAATGAAAGTTTACTCAATTTATTTTTTATTTTATCCTATGAAATTTATTATATATGGAGATAGAATTATAAATTTAGATAAATTGATTCATATAATTATTTTTAAAATATAATATTTAATGAATTTAATTTTTACAACCTCAAGATGTGACTATGTTTATATATTAATGATAGAAAAAAATCAATTAAATTGAAGGTATTTTATTTTAATAAATACAAATAACGTGTCTTTTTCTAGTATCACTTGATGATTTTATGTTAGATATCTATAAGACTGTTCTAAACTTTAACATGGTATGATAGAAAGAAATCAATTACATTGAGTGTTTTACGAGCTAATAGATATAACAAATATGTCTTTATCTATTGTATATATCCCATTTTATTTTGAATATTTTTAAAAAAATTTATGAAATACATAAATAATAAAAGTTATTAAATTTCACAAATAAGATAGCATGGTGACACATATTATTTAGAGCATATTAACAAGAACTAATTAAAAAAAAAGTGAAATATATGTTCATTTTTTAACTTTACTTATGAAATTAAAAATTTTATTTGATAATATATCAAATAATTTTTTTATTTTAAAATATTTTTAAAAAATTTAGATTAATTAGAATTAAATAATTAAATCCTTTGAGTTTAAATTAAAATTCGTTTTAATTCATATTTAAAGTTAAATTCGATTTTCATAATTCATCATCTAATTTTAATTAAAGAAAATTTAAAGTTCAATTTCTTGAGTTTTGAAATTTACTTTTTTTGAATTGTTAACTCCATTGTTTGCTTGGGTTTTAAAACTTGTTAATTTTTTTTAATTAGGCTTTCAGCCTATCATAAGTTAATTTTTGACGTAAAACTTCTTTAAGAGAATGAATGTATGCTTGAATATCTTTAAAATGACAAAATATTTTAGGAATTTTATTAGAATGTGGAGAAAATTTAAAAATTATCTAGTATTTAAATTATGAATTTAAAAAATAAAATTAAAAAAATTATTTTAACAAATACAATATCAAAATAATATAAAGTTAATTGGAATTGTCCTTTTCAAAAGTGTTAATAAGTTGAATCCAATTTGAACCAGGCTCATAATTGATATTAATAATTTATATGCTTATTTAGATTCGATCGAAATTTTGGATCTCAAAATTTTCTTAAATCCAACTTAAATTAAAAATAATAAATCTCAAATCAACCTATTAAAATTAATTTATGAAATAAAAAATTAAAAAAAGTGTGATTAAATTAAGTTTAATAGGATTATATTCAATATTTATAAAAATAAAAAATAAAAATTATATAAAAATAAAATAAAATATAATAAAATATATTCATTTTTAATTTTTAATTTTATATATATATGTGAATTAATTTATATATAATTCATGTATATATAAAAATAAAAAATTTATATATATGTGAATTCAGATCTATCGGATTAGGTTTGAACTTTAAATTTTTTGTCCAAAATTCTTTCAAAATTTGGATAGGCTTTCAAGTTTATGCAGACTTTTGAGTTTGGACATGTAGCTTATCCTTATACAAATCTAGTCATTTTGTATGAGCGTTATGGGGTATTAATATTTTCTCTACACGTAATTATATTTCCTAACATAATTTTATTTTGTATATTAGAATCTATTTTTTTAAAGGTTTTTAGTGAAACTTAAAGACTTCTTAAAAATGATATATTTTTATTAAAATAAATGACATTTATTTAAGTAAGCAATAATTATACCTAATAAAAAAGATTGATGATAATTTTTTTTTTTGTTTTTGGCAATTAAGTTTTTTAACTTACATATTATGATATCTATTATCAAATAAATTTTATTAAAATGTTTATTGGACTATTTTAAACTTTAACACCATATTAGAGCAAAAGTGGCAAATTAAATGTTTATAGGCCTCTTTGTGATAGGTTTATAAGTATTAAGTATGAAATCCATGTTCCAACAAACGTTTTTATACAATGTGAAGTTTGTATCAAATAATAGATCCATTATCTTTAAATGTGAAAAAAAATATTAAAATTATGATAAAAAACTTCACTTCAATTAATTGGAAGAATACTTTAGAAAAAAAATTGAAATAATAATTATTTTGTAATAAAAATAATAAATAAATAATTTGACCAAAAATAAGATTCTATGTTTAAATTATATGATTGAATTATTATCATGAATTAATTGAATACCAATTTAGTGGATGAATGATAAAAAAAAAACTTATATAATAAAAATTATATATTAATAAGATTAAAATAGTAATTAACTTTCTTTCAAAAGAAATAATTCAATTTTTAAAAATCCAATTCTTTCTATTCTTTTATTATAAAAATTAATGGCCAAAGAAAAAGATTAAGAGTCTCATGTAGGACATGATTTTTGTTTTTTCTGCCTTCCACTAGAATATGATTGATAGATGTATGGCACGCGCTGTGGAAGGGTGTGGGCTAAGATTTTATTAGGCTAACTAGCCACCTCCATTGGCTTTCTGGTTGACCAACCGGTCAAAGTCTAGAACACATCTATAGTATTTACACTATTTAGAGAGCATGAGTTAATTGAATATCAATTTAATTAATGAATTAATAAAATATATGATAAGAAAGTTAAAATACTAATTAGTTTTTAATAAAGGAATTAATTTTTAAAATATCCCACTTCTTTTTTTTCGTTATAAAAATTTTTACAAAGTTTTTACATTTTTTCTTTCTTTCACAGTTTAAGATAACTATAATTTTTTTTTAATTTTTATTTAAATAATTTAATTTTAATTTCACCCACACATTGAATGTTAATAAAGCTAGCATTAGAAATTACAATACAGTAGGAGAGAATTTGAAGAGGGGGGGGGGGGGGGGGTTCGAATTTGACGGTGCATCAAAAAAACACATATATCATTCTGACTTGTCAACATTGTCTAGATTAAGTGTTAGAAGAAAGGTCAAGATAATGGTACATGTACTTTAACTAAATTTAAATTTAAATTTCTCTATTATAACTCTTAAAAATGTAGTTTCCGTAAATTTTGGAGTTAAAATTTTCAATTCAATTATTAATCCCATCAAATTTTTATTGTTAAAAATGTTAATATGACCATTAACTTGATAATGTAAGCATTAATCTTACTAATGTGATATTAACTTTTTTGATATTGTGTTTATTTGACTAACATAACCACACGAATGAATAAAATCAATACTCAAATTGTACAAATAGTTCATGTATGAAATTTAAATTTTAATCTCTTTAGTATAATTTATAAAAATTTCATTTTTATACAAGTTAAATTTAATAATATTGATTCAATTATTAATGCAATTAATTAATTTTCATTAACTTTGTTAACGAGACTTTTATCGTTATAAAAAATGATCAAAAAATTAAAAAAACATTCTAAAAATTTTAAAAAGAATATGATAAATTAAAAAACAATCCCAAGAAATAAATAGTCTATTTTGTTGGGTTTTTTCAAAATTTTAAAAACATTAAATTTAATTTTTTTCAAATTAAAAAAAAAAACCATATTTCTTGAATTTTTTAACAATCCAATTTCATTTTTTTGAAATCAAAATTTTGAATATTTAGAATGTTTCTAGTTTTAAAAATATTAATTTTATTTTTAATATTTTTAAAAAATAAGATTTCTTGGATTTTTATGAAAATTAAATTTTCATTTTTTAAAAAAAATAATTTTTTTTTTGAATTTTTAAATAAAATTAGAATTTTTAAGAAATTCAAAACATTTGTAATTTTCTAGGAAATTTTTAGATTTAAAAAATGACAACAATTACGTCAGCAATATTTATAAAGAGTAATTAATTGCATTAGTAATTGTATTAACATTATCAAATTCAATTTGTACAAGAATGAAATTTTATAAATATACTAGAAGGACTAAAATTTAAATTTCGTGTGAGTATAAGTACCATTTGCATAATTTGACAACTGATTTCATTCATCTATGTTGCCATATCTGCAAAATTAATGTCATGTCAATAAAATCAATGTTATATCAACAAGGTCAACATTTACATTATCAAGTTAACGATTACATTAGCATTTTTTACGGTAAAATTTTGATGGGGTTAGTAATTGAATTAAAATTATCAAACCAAAATAGTTTGAAAACTCTATTTCTATGAATTATAGTAAAGTGACTAAACTTTAAATTTCATTAGAGTATAGGGATTTTAGACACCTCATTTTATCTTGGGTATTCGAACATTATTAGGCCTCGACTTTGATATTGAGTTTTTAATTATGAAATTAGATTTTAAGCCTAAATTAAAAGGCTTAAAAGGGATTTTTTTTT